AAAATTTTAATTGAAAAAAAAATAGAGAAATGAAAATTATTATTATTTATCATACTTCTTTTTTTTTTTTGCATATTTGCGTTAAGGAAAATAAAAGAAAGAGAGGGAGCGGAGAAAATAAAATTTTTCTTTATTTGATTATAAGAAAAGTAGAGAAGAGAGATTTTTTTTTTAATTTGTTAATATCTAAATAAAAAAAATAAAATGAGAAATTAAAATTTTCCTCTTCTCTGTTTCTTCTCCATTTTATTTTTTTTAATCTAAACATATGTTTCATAAATCATAATTTTATCTTTCTTTTCTCCTACTTAATTACTGCATATTTTATAAGATACCCACAATTTACAAAAAAAAAAAAGAAAAAGAAAAAGTGAGATATGCATTTCCCCGAACAAGCGCTGTTTTTTTGTTTTCTTATTTTTGCCATCGCGAACAAGCGTTTCTTTTCTTTTCTTTTTTTTTTCTTGAACTAATAAACAAAAAATGAGATTATCAAAATTAAATTTTAAAATTTTGAATATCATTATATTTCTCAAAAAAAATTAAAATTATTATATCATAATGATAGTTGGTCACGAACAAGCGTTCTTGAAAGTTGTAGAACCATTCAGTATTCACTGCCAAGAGGAGAGTAGTTTTTCTCAATTACTTTTTTTTTTTTCTATTTGTCTGTATGGTTTAAGGGTCACTTTTATTTTAGGAGTAAAAACAATGATATTTCTGAAGTTTAAATCACAATTTTAACACTCGTTCCATTACTTAAAAACATATATTAATATTATTAATATAATTCTCACTTTTTAAAAGATTATTTTTTTGGTAAAGAAAAAGAAAACAAAGATTTGTTTTTTTTGGCACATAATCTGTCAATTATTGACCCTCTCAATTGTTGATATGATAAGAGAATTGACAACGCTGATCCCGCAATAATCTCTCATTTATTGATCCTCTCAATTATTGATATAATAAAAGAATTGGTAAAACTGATCTCGCAATTAACAGTCCTTTGAGAGACAATCTCCTTTAATTTTCTTTCACCAAAAAAAAAAAAATTCTCCTTTAATCTTCTTTCATTATTATTTTAAAGATTTTTTTAATTTATATTTTTAAAATATAAATTAAAAATATAATTAATGTATTTTTTAATTATTAATATAAGTAAATAAATAAAAAATTAATTTTAATTTTAATATTAATGTCAAATATCTTAATTCAATTAATTAATTATTAATATTAAAATCAAATTTTATTTTTTATGTAATTTAACAATAAAAAAATATATTAATTAATTTTTTAACTCATACCCTTGAAAAGAAAGCTTTTTTTTTTTATTCTTTTGGAAATAGGCAATGAAAATCTTCCTTTATGGATACCATCGCAGCTGGGGTGCAGCCTGCCTTCATTGCATCCCTCACAGTCTGGACATTGAAGTAGTGGCCCCCACTTGCCTATTGATGGGTCAAAATCACCCTATTTTTAAAATAAAAAATATGAATATTAAAATTTAGTCGATGAATGACAAACAGCAATTGTCCTCGATAACTGTGAGTGCAATTAACACTCTAAGGAAGATTAGTTGAGGATAAGTATGGAATTTTAATAAAAAATATTATGCGCTTTAAATTATGCAAATAAATATAGTTTAGTTAGAATTGTTTTAGATAATATAATTTAAATTAAATGGGATAGTAATCTTAATATTAAAATTTTTTATTTAATAATTTTTATTTAATAATTTAATAAATAAAAATTTTTAAATAAAAAAATTAAAAATAT